AATTTGAGACGGCATTCCAAAATGGCCGCCTTCCTGTTTATCATACAACAATGGTGCCAGAGGGTTTTCTGTGCATCTTGGGGAATTGGACAAGTGTACCAAATTTCATGCTTCTACGACAAACTAAATTTAATGTGGATGGTATTTTGAAAATTTCCAGGTGGAGCTCTTGAGCCGTTTCTGTTGTGTTTTTTGCCACGCCCTTAAAATACGTAATTTTTCAGCAGTCCTAATGTGTCCGCCAAATTTGGTGACTTTTGAAATATGTTAAGGCCCCCAAAAGGCCAATTCATTTGACCAAAAAAATTGCAGCTTGGGTCTGAACAGAGCGATTACAATAGGTCTTTGCAGCGCTTTGCTGCTCGGGCCTAAATATCAGTATTGTATTAAAAGTTCCTTTGAAGATATGTTTAATGTTTCCTTCTTACACGTGTAGAAACAGTTATGAGTGTGGAGAGGAGGATGGAGATCTTTAGGAGGTGAATGTGAGTAGTATTTTTTTGGAAAGTGGCAGGACTGAGACTTAGTAGATTAATCTAGTACTTTCTGTGGTTGAACATAGCAGATTCTTGAGTCAAATCTGAGATAATGTGTCTGACAGCAGAAGCTTGGACCAAACTCGGTCATGATGATACAGGATTATGATCCCAAACACAGCAGCTACTCTACAACAGAATGACTCAAAAAATAAAGAGTCAAAGTATTGTGATGGTCCAGTCAATGTTCAGAATTTCAGCCTGATTTAAATACTGTGGTAGCCTTGAGAGCTGTGCAGAAAACAACGTCTGAAAGACCTTTTGGTAATGTTGGAAACAGCCAATATTCTTCCACAACCAGGCAAATGCCAAGACAGCCGCACTCGATAAAGCCACAGCTCCACTGGGTCCCGGTGTGATCCCAGTTTTCAAGGGTTTTGAAATCGACTCAGAGCCTGACCCTGCACCCTTTAAGCGTGTGAATTATAGCTGAACCGAACTGAAGGGCTTGAGAGAGGATTTAACATGGAAAGCAGCAGTGATCAATAACGATCTTAAATCTACGCTCGGCAAACTGCAGCTCTTAAAGTCATCTGTGTGGAGGCTGCAGCAGGGGTGATCAAACGGGGAGAGGAGACGCTGTTCCAGGCGGAAGAAGAAAGGTTGCTGGGTAGGGGCGTTGGTAAGGCTTAAAGATAACGCTAAAGCTGGCAGACTAGCGATACCCTCTCTCTTTCTGTTGAACGTCCTCTTGTTGGATAACAAGATGCATTTGCTTCGGTTAAGAGTGGGTGCCTCAGAGGAGATGAGGAAATGTGCAGTAATTTATCTTACGGAATCCTGGCTTAACAGAGTTTACGACAGAGTTTATAATAGCTGTTTACATAGCCCCGGATGCTAATGCTAAAGACGTCCTGCAGAACTTGCATGATAATATAAGCTTGCTGCAGAAAAAAACAAACCCTGAGACATTTTACATGCTGGCTGGTGACTATGACTGTGTAAATCTGAAAGACACCCTGCCAAGATTTTATCAACTTGTGGCCATTCCTACACAAGGAAATAACACACTGGACCGTGTTTACACAAACATACGAGACACATACAAAGTCATACTCCACCCCCACCTAGGACTCTCTGACCATATTGTCATCTTTCTGGCTCCTTCTTACCTCCCCCCGCTAAGACGCTCCAGACCAACACAAAGTCAAATGTTGGATGAAAAATAATGACTCCATATTGAAACACTGTTTACAGACTAGCAGGTCTTCAGAGAAGCTACTTTAAATGAAGAGGAGCTGGACCTAGAGGAATACACATTCTCAGTCCTGGGATACATCAGCAAGTGTGCTGATGATGTCATCACCATCAGAAATGTTAATAGCTACACAAACCAGAAACCCTGGCTAAATGCAGAGGTTCGTACCCTGCTAGAAGCCAGAGACACTGCCTTCAGGTCTGGCAACTCACAGGAGTTGAGAAGGACAAAAAAAAGAGCTGGTTGGTGGTATTAAAAAGGCCAAAGCTACATATGCACAGAGGATCCAGGGTCAATTCAACTCACAAGACATGCAAAGCATATGGAGGGGCATTAAGTGTTTAACAGACTATAAAGGCAGAGGTGCACAATGCTCTAGGGACCCATCACTGCCTAATGCCCTCACAAAGTTATATGCACGCTTTGAAGACCTGAACAGACCTCCCAGCACCAGACTCATCTCACCGCTGGAAGAGGAGTTTTTCAGTGTGACCTCAGCTGAAGTAAGCAGTAATTTCAGGAGGATTAATCCTCACAAAGCAACTGACCCAGACAACATCCTGGGGAAGGTGCTGAAAGACTGGGCCAATCAGATCTACGAGGTGCTGGCCGACATCTTTAACGCCTCCCTCACCCTGGCAACAGTTCCCACCTGCCTGAAGATCGCCACCATTATTCCAGCTCCTAAGAGCTCTGCAGTGACTGGTCTGAATGACTACTGGCCAGTAGCCCTCACCACAATAGTCGCTAAATGCTTCGAAAGACTGGTCATGATCCACATCGAAACAACCATCAACATCAACGAGGACCCTCATCGGTATGCATACAGCAAAAATCGATCAACAGAGGACATAATTTCCTTTGTGGTCTGCAGTGCTGCACCCGCCTGGAGCAGAATGACTCTTCTTCTCCTCATCCACCATAACCCTCAGCACTGGCTCTCTCCAGGGCTGTGTGCTGAGCCCCCTCCGGTTCACTCTTGTCATGTATGACTGCGTACCTACCCATCCAGGCTGTCATATTGTAAAGTTTGCTGATGATACAGCGGTGGTTGGATGCATCACAAACAATGATGAGTCCAGCTACAGGCAGAAGGTGGAACACCTGGAGAGCTGGTGCAGGAAAAACAACCTTCACATCAATGTAAAGAAGATGAAAGAGATGGTTGTGGACTTTCGATGGAACAAGCACACTTACACCCCCCCACCCACCCACCCCCAATATAGGAGGATCTGCAGTAGGAGTGGTCTCCAGCTACAAGTACTTGGATGTGCACTTGAATGACAACCTCAGCTAGGGCACCAACACTACCAACCTGATCAAGAAAGCACATCAGAGACTCTCCTTCCTCAGGTGGCTGAGGCGGGCTGGTCTGGGAAGCTCAGTTCTCACTGAGACTCACAGGTGTGCAGTGGAGAGCATCATGTGCTCCAGCATCAACCTGTGGCATAGAGGCTGCACAGCTGTAGAAAGGAAATCTCTGCAGAGAGTGGTGAAAGCTGCACAGAAGACCATTTGGAGTCAGCATCACAGACATCTACACCTCCAGATGCAGGAAGAGGGCCACCTGCATCATGAAGGACCCCACTCACTCACACACTCACTTTTTGCCCGCTCCCCTCAGGAAGGAGGTTGAGGAGCATTAAGTGTAGAACCACTAGACTGAAGAACAGCTTCTACCCTGAAGCTTTTAGACTCATAAATCCCTAATCAGGATTATCAATGTGGGAAAAAAAATCACTTGATTGTTGATAAGAGCTCCTGACTATCCATGCTGCTGATCTCATGCTGCTGATTTATTTCATGCTGCTGTGTTCATTTGTACTCATCTGCTCGCACAGACTCATGTTCGTGCTGCTGTTGTTCGGCGTATTGTTTTTGTACTTAGTGCTTAGTGTATTCTTAGTTTTAGCGTATTTCTTAGCTCATTAGTTCAAGGGCGACTATGGCTGAGTGGTTAGAGCAGTCGTCCTCCAATGCAAGAGTTGGGGGTTCGAATCCACCAGCAGTCACATGCCGAAGTATCTTAGATATTATTAGTTTTTCTTTACAATTTATACTTTTGTTGGATGTAACTGGGGCCCTGTGTACAAAATTTTGTTCCACCACATGTACCACATGTGGTGCGGATGACAATAAAGAACCTTGACTTGACTTGAAGAGTCCTACAAAATACCACTACTGAGTTATTGCGACAAAAAGAGGTTCTACAAACTGCTGGGACCAGTTTTTGATGGCTTTAAAGAATTAATGACACAGTAGAATATGTTGTGGTTTTTCTTTTGAATTTAATCATTTTAGAACCTGGTGTAGACCAGATAAATTTATTATGTCCTGATGCATAAAACTTAGAACTGTAAGGACGATGAATTTTCTTAAGACTTTTGGGTGAGTTTATGTAGTAGTTTTGTATTTTTCTGCCATTTATAGATAAATTCATTATTAATACATAAAATATTTATAAAATAAATTATTAAAACAGGGCAGCACAGTGGCACAGTTGGTAGAGCTGCTGCCTCTCAGCGAGCAGGTCACCCCGGTTCAAATCCCAGCCAGGGGCCTGTCTGGGTGCAGTTTGCATGTTCTCTCGGTGCTGTGTGGGTTTCCTCCAGGTACTCCGGTTTCCTCCCACAGACCAAAAACATACGTTAGACGGATTGGTACTGTAACTCTAAATTGTCCCTAGATGCGAGTGAGAGAGTGAATGGTTGTTTGTCTCATTTGTCTCTATGTGTCCCTGTGATAGACTGGAGACCTGTGACTGCCAGACATGGGCACCAGTGACCCCCTTGACCCCAAAAGGAAAGAAGAGCGTATATCTTTACCCGTTTCTTTCCTTTTCAGGTCGTCCATCCATTATCTTATGAATGGATGAAAATTATTAAACAAATATTTCAGCTTTAACTACCAGCACAATTTGAGCTGTCTTCACAAAATTGTCACTTTTATAATTTATAACATAATGTGATGTTCAAAGGAGAAACTTCCAAGTCAGACAGGAATAAAATAAATCTTTTATTCCACATCCCAAATACAAGACAAACTTAAATAACATGGATGAAAATGTGTAACATACTGTAACATAAACTTTGGCATGAGCACAAAATGGCACAAAACCAAGTAAGACATCATAAATGATACTGTGAATATAATCCAAAGATATGGCTGACTGTGTGTGATACAAACTTTTTTTAACTTTATTCCCACAATAAGATCTTTGGGATAGTTCACATATCCAGATATGACGTCAAACTTCAGCATTTTTTCAGCATCATATAAATATATCTTCACATCTGTCACAATCAACATCAAATCATAAACACATGTCCTCAAATAAATAATATAAAGAATAAAAAATGATGGTGCGCACAATAAGGAAATAATGGTCAAAGGAAGATTGAAAAAACAAAATAAAAATGATACATTTAAAAAAAGAAAAAAGTGAATACCATACATTTCAGTGAAGGTGTTTGTTTTTTGAAGCCCCCGTCTGTTTTTGGTTTGTGTTGTAGGTCCGATAAACTCATATTTTCTGTCTTTGGGTATTAAATCTGTCATAAATTCTGTCAAATATTTTGTAAATTATTTTTACCCAAACTGTTCTTTTGTCAGAACTGAACATTTTACATGTCTATCAGTTTTATGATCCCATCTTCACTGTGCATGAAGACAGAGAAACAAGTGTTGAAATGTTTATTTCCCTGTTTGAACGAATCAGTTTTATCTGAGTCCAGCTCCTGGGCCCAACATGGACTCGTCCCTCCACATGAAGTCCTGATGGTCCGCTCTGGCCAGCGTGCTCTCCACAGGGTTGTGTCTGTACCCAGATCTAGCTTCAGGACAGAGGGCCAGGCTGAGGCGGGCTGTGCTGTTACTCATCTTGAACAGGCTGTTCTGGCTGAGGAACGCCTCCCTCTCACTGCCTCCCAGGTTGTTGACTGTTTCCAGATCATTGTAAACTGCGATGTCGCTCAGCTGCTTTCTGCCCTCTGTTCTCCTCCTTCTCCTCCTCAGGAACAAAATCCCTGCGATCAGAACCAGCACCAGGACAGCTAGAAAGCAGGAAACTGTCAGGGTGGTCGAGGAGGAGGCCTGGGAGACTTGGCGCAAAGCAGGTTTGAAACTGGGCTGCAGTGTGAACTCGCAGCTCGGACCCATGAAGCCTTTGGGGCACTGGCACACAGGCCCCGTGAAGTGGGTGAAGCAGGTGCCACCGTTCTGACATGGACGTGCACCACAGGCATCTGAGCGCACGCTGCAGTTTTTCCCCGTGTACCCCAGTGTACAGGAACAAGTGTAGTCATTCACACTGTCCTGGCAGGTTCCAGCGTTCTGGCAAGGACTTGAGGCACAATCATCGATGTTGACCTGGCAGTTGGCTCCAGTGAAACCTGGCTGACAGCGGCACAAGATATTCTGGCCCAGGTCCAGACAATCTCCACCTGTGGAAGGGAGAAGTACTGAGCTCAGCATGTGACAAGATACGTGTTAACTGGATCATGGCTGAGAGCACACACATGCGGGCAGGAGTGCTAACACACACACACCAGGCACTTGTTCACTGTTCACGTTTTGTGAAGATGCTTTGTGAAGATGCTTTGTGACTCCAAGTTTTTTCCTCGCTGACTCTGGAACGAGGTGCAAGCATTCTCTTCCCTCTCCGTGTTCTCCTCCTGCTTTTTTGCTCTCTGTCTGTGTATCGGAGCAGCTCTTATTTTTACACATCTTCCGAAATGAAAACTACTGTTTTGGATCTGACCAACTGAACTTTAGATGCAAATGACAAAATATTTTCAACAAAGCAACAGGGTCCTGGAGAACCCTCATCTGCTCGGACGACACGTGCAGCTGGATATATCTCCGGGAAGTGGAATGTGATGTGTCTACCTCTGCTGTTGATCGAGGACACCAAAATTGCATATACTGCAATTGGATTCATGATAACAGGTTTCCTGCTTTCGGAATTGTCTGGTTCCTGGTTTATCAACATACAAAGAAGACGGTCGCAGCTAATTTGGACCTCGTCAGGCTGCTGCCTATGTGAAGGTTTGGTTTGTGCTTTGAGGACTCAAAATCATCTGATTTACGAGCTAAACCATAAGATGGAAGTGATTTGAATTGCAGGCTACCTGCGGCTTTGGGACTCGTCAGCATGGAAACGACCTTGAAGAGGCTCGTAAGTACGGACCAGTAGAATGCACCTTAATATGGCCATTTCAAATCTTGGAAGTACCAGTAAAGACTAAAGGCTGACAAAAAAAATAATAATCTGCCTGAATAAATCAACAATTATGGATTATCTAAATCTGACTCCCTGGTTGGCCTCGAAACAGGCCGACTTATCAATTTCTCCTGTGAAATGAATAAACTAAGGAAAAGCTTTGTCTATTGCAACACCCCCCCCCCCAATCTTCTGTGGAGGCTTATCAGAACTGTGCCGGCTGACCATCAACTTATCAGGACAATGGACTATCTGTAAGTGCTTCATGGACCGCCTCGTCATCAAATGCATATGTACGTGTTCATAAATGTGCTGCTGGCAGAGTTTTTCGATGTTTTAAATTGTGTCCCATTAGGACAAGGTGTGAAGAGATCTTTTTTTGTAATGCCACTATCCACTCCTCATGGCTTTGTCCCTTTTTCTATCTAAAAAATGTATTCAGAAAAGAGTAAGAAGGCCGCGCTTTATAGCAGCAGCTACGTGCACTCCATCCATCTTTTGGACGGCTGTATGGACATATTCTCGTTGTATCTCGGTGCAATGACAATAAAGCTTATTCTGATTCTGATTCAGATTCTAACATTCAGCATTCCGCCACAAGATGGTGACAGAGGAGAAAACTCACCATTCAGACAAGGCCTGTTGCTGCAGCGGTCCAGCTTCTTTTCACAGTTGGAGCCGGTGTAACTGGAGGGGCAGCGACAGGTGTAGCCCCCGGTCATTGTCTCCACACACGTCCCACCATTGAAGCAAGGACCATCTGCACAAGTCATGGCGATAATCTCACAGTTCTTACCATAGAAACCCTGCGGACAGGTGCACGAGTAGTCATTCTCCAGGTCCTAGGGAAGGTAAAAAGGAAGATAGGGCTGATTGTCACCATGTGTGAGTGAGGTCATAAAACCAGAAGAAGCTGTGTGATTGACTGACTCGTTGCATTAAGTCTGCAGACTCTCAGATATAATAATAATAATGTCATCACATTGTCATCACTATATGTTTCCATACAATGGTGAAATTGTATGCATTTAACCCATCCACCATGAGGTAGTGCAGAGGGCAGCTATTGAAAGCTCCCGGGGGACATTTTGGGGATAGGGTGTGCTGCCCAGAGACACCACGAGGCATGCAGTGACCGGGGATCAAGTCTGGGACTTTCAGGCTCTGAGCCGGCTGCCCTGTCTCTATACCATCTTGGCCCCCATAGATATTGCTGTGTAATAAATTTGGCCTCTAATCCTGCTTCTTTCTCTGTAATTCAACATTAACTTTCTGGTTTCAGCTCATTTTGCTGCTTTGTGATTAGTTATCTCATCACAGTTTAAAGTTTAAAATGTGTTGGGTGTTCTTTACAAACCAGCTTTTCTTGTGTGTTCTTGAACTTCTGCTGTTAAAAACAATCAACCCTTGCACCTCATTCCTTACCCTTGTGGGCTTCATGACATCTTATAGATTCTTCCCAAGTCAAATGAAAAGAGACACACATGCACGTCCACACTCACATTGCAGCTGCCTCCGTTTTTGCAGGGGTTGCTGTCACACTCGTTGGTTTCCAGCTCACAGTTGGTCCCGCCGAAACCAGGCCGGCACGTGCACGTATAGCTGCCTTGACCCGTGTTAGTGCATGTGGCGCCATTGGCACAAGGCTTGTGGTTGGTACAGTAGTTGAGGTCCTGGTCACAGAAGAGCCCCCCCCAGCCCTCCTGACAATTACACTGCCATGGTTGGCTACACGTTCCATGGAGGCAGCCTGGGTAGCGAACACACTTGGTGCAGGAGGGGCCCTGCCAGCCCATACGACACGTACAGCCCTCAGGGGCCTCACAGTAGCCGTACTTCTCACTACAGTCCACAGAGCAGATGGCTGGAAAAGAAGTGTGGGGTGGGGGGGGGGGGTATTACAATGGGCACACCTTCACACACACACACAAACCCCCATCCCTGTTTCAACCCAAACCTATCTCAGACTTCACTGTTGGTTAACTATTAAGCCCAGCAGCTGGTAGGCACACAGCCAAAGATAAATGCTTTCTGTTAACTACACACACGCGCGTGGCACCTTGCAAAGCCAGTGTCTTGTGTCAGCAGAACAAAAGGCAGCTGAAATAAATTGTACAGCAGGAAGCTGCCGGGGCTCCCTCAGGTGAAACAGAAACTGTTGGATGGAAACTGGACACAGGTAATAGAACTTCAAGTGGAAGCTGGACAGGAAGGTTCATCAAAATCTTTTAGTAACTTTAACAAAAGTTGATGAACTGCACTATGGAGCAGCTGGTTCCCTTGTAATAAGAAGATCACAAGTTTGAATTTTGGGATTTTTTTTCTCTGCTTTCCAAGTTCACCATACTATTTTTAAGAGATTCTAGTGAGCGAATGAACATCTGTGATGAACTGATGACCAGTCCACCATGTACCCCATTATCTGACTAAAGGATCAGGAGATGGATGGATGGATGGATGGATGGATGGATGGATGGATGGATGGAT